GCTATTTGATGTTTAAATTGATATATGGCCTCTAGCTTAAATATATATTTCCTTTGCAATTGGCAACTTGTGCTTAGTGAATAAATTTTTCTTTTGCCTATAATGACTTAGAATATGGAATTGTTTTCTAATTGGTGTAATTTTTATCAATTGATTTTCTTGATGGTTTTAATGAAAATCTTTTGTCAATAAATTTTTCTAAGTCTATGCTAGGAGAACTTGAAATGAGCATGAATGAGCTTACATTTTTTAAATTTCAATTGGAACAAGCAAAGCAAGTCATCTTTATCAATCAAGCCTAAGAACATCAAAGACTAGCTCAAATGATGTGGAATTGAGGATTCAAAGCCTCATTCAACTACAATGAGCACAATAATATAGCTTGAAAAGGATGGAGGTAATTGTATTGAATCTATGCTATGTGCCTATGATTTATAATATTTAATGCATGATTTGATAAATGCTTGCTTTGATATGTGCAAAAATTAGATATTATGTTTGAATTTGTGAACACTTTGCACAAATTAATCACCGAGCTACTTGATAGAATTTATCTTAACTTTGTTAAATGCTTGGATTGATTAATATTCATGCCTAGTTCTTGATTGCTTTGATTAATAGTTTTTATTGCATGAATATTTGTTTGAATCTTTGGACATTGATATGAGTTGAATATATTGATTTTTTTATCTTTCAATTGCCTTGACTTATGGATTATGAACTTACAATTTTGAAATTTTATACACATGTTCATTGATTAAGATCATTGAAATAGAATGTACCACATTATGTCTAAATGTTTGTATCTCTATTAGTATATTACTATATGTGATTTGAAATGTTTTTGTATATGCTTGCATGATTTTGATTGAATTATATATTTAGATACTTACATATGTTTAGATTAAATTGCTATGCATTGAAATAAACAAGAATATATTTGAATAATAATTATGCTTTCATTATTTCTTTGCTAGCTTATGTGTTCATCATGTTTGAAAAATACTTGAATAATCTATGTTTTGACATGATAATTATTGAACCTCATTACTCATTAGTATTCATGCTTTATTAAATTCATATGATCTTTGGTTCTTGTTTGGATAGGATAGCTTATGAAAGATTACTATTTCATTTATGCATGTATTAAATGAATTTTTTATATGCTTGAAGTATGTGTGCTTTATGAAAGTTATTGAATAAAATTGTTAACAATTGGTAACAATTGATATCAAAACTACTAAAGAATTTGTTTTTTTAACTTTCATGGACACTTGTTTATATGCCTATCCTTGATATAGCTTATACCTTTCATGCAAAATTGTGTGTGCCTTAAATTGATTAATCCTTATTTTGAAAAGGGAGAGAAATCTTAGAATACAACTTTGCTTGATTTGTTATGTGATAATAATTGGTATTCTTTATGATAACATATCTTTAACAATTGGTATCTATAACAATTGGTATGAGCTTGTATGCATGTGCTTGAATTTATGCTTAATTATTATTGATGTTTTAGGTTCTAAGCACATCTTATCCTAACATGATTTATGAATAGATTGCATATCATTCATTATCTTTTGCTCATAAATTTCATGTAGTAAATTTGATGACTTGTGCTAAAATACTAAAAATGGATGCACTTATGCTTTTGTGCTTGAATACATGTATGTAAACTTCATTGTGCATATTATACTTGATTACATGCATTCAAAATACTCTTGATATTATTGATTTCAAGCATTTTGTCTATGGCTTGAATTGATCTCTCTTTCTTTTGAAATAACATAAAGGGGGAGAGAGTTTAGAGATATTTATTCTTGTATGCTTATAGCAATTGATATAGGAGCTTAAACATTTGGTATAAAGAGCATAAACAAAAAAGAGGAGAAATGTTTCATGAATATATTTGTTAATGATGCCTGTTTGTGTTTATTTGCTCATCAATATGGTCATGCCTTTTTGCTATGATAAAAAAGAGAGAAATATCATGTGGACAAATCTGCTTGTGTTTGACATGCATATGTTTTATTGTTTTTATTTCATATATTTGACTAACATATGTTTATTGAGTTGTGTTGGATTAAGATGCATTAATTGAGGTGAAGTTTTGCCTTGCATTATTTAAGGGGGAGTTTTTCAAAATATTTTTCAAAATCTTAAATGTTTCAAAGAGAGTTTTTCATCAAGCAAATTTATCCTTAAGTTTTATCTTGTCAAAAAGGGGAAGATTGTTAGCCTTGAATTGATTCTTATTTTGAAATGAAAAAAAAGCTTGATCAAGATTTTGAAAAAGATTTATTTAGTACATATTCTTAAGTTTTTTATTTTGGTCTAAATAAATAATATGTTTTTCAAAGTTTAAACAAACCTTTTTTGTTTTCATATTTCTCAAACCAAATCTATCTTTAAAGATTATTTATTTGAGCTTAAATGAAAGTCCAATTGTTGTTTTTAAAATGAATTTATTCATTTTGGACTTAATACAATTTTGATAATATTGATTTCGAGAAATAAATTAACTTAAGAAAGTTGTTGTACAAGAACAAAGATTTCCAATATTGAATTTGTTTTATTTTTCTATATTAATTCACAAAAATTTAATATTTGAATTTTATATGGTTAGAAAGGTATTTGAGTCTACTTTCTAATGGATCAAACAAAATCAAAATCCAAATTTTTTTAAAAAAGATTTTGAATTTTTACTAGACACTTTACAGTTGTCTAAAAACTGCACAAAATGTAATTTTGCAAAATTCACTATAATTTGTATTAGATGATGAATTTTATATGGATAGAAAGCTCTTTAAGTATAGTTTCTAAATCTTCAAACTATTTTTTATTTGGATTTGTATAATTCAAGATATAATCAAATTAATAAGTATAGTGTAAAATAGAAGACAGTCACCCAGCCATGGACAAGATCGATCCCCTCAAGAAGGGATTGATTGAATTTTTACCCAAAAAACAACATTGTGCTCCTGATTGAAAGGATCGATGACCCCCTTAAACCAATTAATCCCCTCAAAAAATGGATCGATCGGGTAGGCTTTTTCAAGCCGTGAATTGGATCTAAAACATGAACCAATCAAACCCCTCATGAAAAAGATTTATCGGGTCTTGGCAAAATCACTCCAACGGGTACTTTTTCATGCTTTCAATGGGCATTTTCTTATTCCAAGCTTTCCCAATAGCTAGTTCTTCAATTTCTCTATATATTAGCTACTCCAACACACTAAGAAGATTGATGAAGCAAAAGAGCAAGAGCCAACAAGTTATATTTTCATTCTCTCAAAGAATCAAAAGTTGTTAGAGCTTAAAAGTCTACATCTTTGTATTTGTTGTATCCAAATTATTATTGTTGTTCATTCATCAAATTTCTTTGTACTTCATTAGGCAAACACTTAGCCTTTGATAGGTGTTTTAAGTTTGTATTTGTATTAAGTGATTTTGTAATCAAGAGGTGAGGCATCCTCTTGAATTTGTGAGATTGTGAGGTTGTTACTTAGCCTAGAAAGTAGAGAGTATAAAGTTTCTATCTTAATCCTTAGAGAGAAAAAAATAGGGTTATATTTTCAATTCAAGAATCGTGCATTGAAGTCTTAGTGTGGACAACCAAAAAAGAGGATGTGGGTGCCTTGTGAAAAAGAACCGAACCTTTATAAATTCTTGTATTTGATTTCTCTATCCCTATCTCTTTACTTTGATTATAGTTTATATTTGCTTCAAGTTCATCAATTTGTTGTCATTTGCATTAGATTTTGATATTGATCTTAATTTTTCATTCAATTATTTTGAAATCATTGCTTAGGAAGAATTTGGAGAAATCTAATTCACCTCTATCTTGGATCACCATTTCACCTAAAAAGCTAACAATCAATTTTTTATTTACTTTTTCTTTTTTCCTTTTAAACATTTATACATTTTTTATAAATATTTTATCTTGAGACAATTTGAGTATGTATATGATCATTTTATCTTGAAACAATATACCTTGAGATGGGTCAATTTTTTTTTTTTTTAAATGCTCTAGATGAAAATGTATTTAGGGTATATTGTTAACCTATTTCGAGGTATATATAAAAATATATGTTTATTATTTATTTAATTTATATATATATGTATCATATTAATTAATTAAGTTTTTATCTTAATTTAAGAAATTAATATTTTAAACTTTATATGAAACATCAAATTATCAATGTGTCTGTGGTTTTTTTTTTAATTTTTTATGTATTTATTTTTTATTGATAAAATTTATGAAAAAAGAAACCAATTAAAGTATCCACATGTTATTCCTTTTTTTTTTAACCTTTCGTCTTATTTTTGTCTTTTTAATTAAATAAATTTTACAAAAAATACAGTAAACAGAGACGATAAAACAAAAAAAAATTATCTGTGACATCACGTGGGCATTTTTCTAATGCATTTTTACTTTGCTCATATAAGTAAATAAAATATTGATCTCAATGGAAAAATAATGAATAAATAAGAAAATTATATGAAGAATAATATGATTAATGTGAATAAAAATAAAAGTATTCAATTAAGCAATATAGAAATATAGTGAACATGATCTTAATCTTATATTTATTTTACACTTTACATATATTGTATGTAATCAGACCAAGTATGATATAAACTGTGATCTTTGTTCTTAATAATTGAATCAAATATGAGAATGAATAGTTTGAATTCAAAAACATCAATATATTTTTGTTTTAAGTAAAACATAACTATTTTTAAAAAATTAAAAATTTACATTAATTATGTTTACAAATATGTTCATAATAAAATTATATTGTTACTTTCAATATATTTAATTTTAATTTTATTTCATTATCGATACAATTATTGTTAAATAAAATTATATTTTGCATATATTAAATGATTACTTACGAATAATATTTTCATAAAGTTAAACTTAAATTAAAAAATTTCCCGCAACATGCAGGCAAAATACCAGTAATTAATAATAATAAAACAACCATAATGCAACATTGTTACATTTTTCTAAGAGGGATAAACTTTTAACTTTTTGTTTTTGGTAGAAACCAAACTTAACTTGAATCAACAAACTTTTACCTTTGCATTCGGCGTTGAAAGAAAGATCATTTTTCTTTAGAAAATAATAAAATCTTATCTAACATTGAAACAATTTTCACTTTATGTACTTTAAAGTGAAGAGAGACTATCCATTCCAGCGAATATAGGAACAGTTTTTCACCATGGTAATTCCATAAACACCATGGTTATTCCATAAACATCCATATGATATCTTTTACATCTTACATGTCTTTCCTACCACTTTTTCCCGATCTACAATTCATATTCACAGGACTCCAAAACAGAAAACCAAGCCCATAAATACTATTAAAAGTCTTTTAGTACTGAAGAAAACAATGTTATAAAGAGTGACACTGCCTCCATCACTCCTTATCCAATTAGATCATAGTAGAGCACAATCATACTGACCTACAAATAGATGGAGATCACACTGTTTTTCAAGATGTAGCTTTGAACTACAATGAAAGGCTAAAGATTATGTGAGGATCGGCATGTCCCACTTCATTCAGTGCTGAAGCTGCAAATTTAGAATTTCTAAAAACAGCTCATTTGGGTTCAGGGAATCACATTCGTATACGCTTCACATCATTCCCAGGGACATTCACATCACCGCCATTCCCCTTTTCTGAACGAACTGTTTTTCCCTGTATGCACATTAACATAAGCAGTCAATGACCTTAACCATAGGGTGACAAAAATATCTTCAGAAGAAAAAACATAGGAGAATCTAAAAGGTTCTATTTAATCAGAGTACTTTCATCAGGAATACATGCTTTTTGTGGCTTTCAACACCATTGACACCTTCCAAAATGGCAGATTGTGAGACCTTAAGTATAAAAGTTGGGCCATTTCTTATTGCTAAATTTTTAGAATAATTGATCACCTACCTATTTCTTTAACATGGGATGAATGCAGAGGTCTGAAGATATTTTCCCTAAAAATATTTGCCGCAAACATTGTAAGCTATACCTTCAAATTATGCAGTTTGTGCTCATACTAAGAAATATTAACACATGCATTGCCTAAGCATTCAATCACATAAAGCAGATGTTTGTGTGTTTAAAATTTCCAGGATTCTGCTATTCAGTTGTCATTAAAACTTACACTTTCATCTGGGACAACTGCATATCTCTCCGTTGGAGAAACCCAGGATTTACCTGCCAATAGAACATTTATATATTCAAGAATAGCAGAAACTATCAATAAAACAGATAATAAAGTAGGAAGGATTTGTAAAGCAACTATACAGCACCTAACAATGGGTCAAGCTTTGAAGCTTCTATCTGTTGTCCACTGGAACCATCAATACTCAAAGCCTCTATTATCTTTGCTTCATTCCTAAAAATAAGAATCCAGAATGTCACTACTTTGGTCCACAACCAAAAAAAGGGAACTTTGTTCTCAATTTCATAAAACATATCAAGAGAGAATAAAAGAAAGGCACCATATGTTGACCAAGAATCCAATATACCAAGAAATATCACAGGTTTCAAATAAGAACCTGTCTAAAAACCATTATTGGCCAAAAAAAAAAAAGAAACATTGGACAAGCCCAAGAAAAGTTAGCTCTCAGATCTGTTTACTATAATCAATATCTATGGTATCATGAAACCTGTCTCCTATTGTAAGAATTTCATTTATCTCATTCTCAAATTCATGATCACAAATTTTGAGCTCTGAACCCTAGAAAAATAGACAGGAACTTTTCTGACAACATAATCTCAAGGAACTACCTCTCTTTTATTTCTCATACTTTGTTGTGTTTCCTCCATATTTTCTGCAGCTTCTACTAAAATTATCTTTCTATTTTACTTATAATTTACCCCTACAACATATTATTATTAGAATGGATCATTCCAAATCAAGGAGGAAAGAAAAGCATTCCCTTATCATCACTAGTCTAGATAAAAATGCTATTACCGGTCCATTGATTCACCATGCCCCAGCTGTCCATTTGTACCCCTTCCCCAGGAGAAGACATTTTGCTCTTCAGTAATAGCAAGCGTGTGCCTCCAACCACATGAAACCTGGACTACTTTCTGCAAAGTAACAAATAAACATATGAGAAGAGAAGAAAGAATTCAGGCTTAGAAAACATGATTAAAGAGAGAGGAAATGACCTCTCAATAAGAAACTAAAAGCAGAAAATTCCTAGAGAACTGAATATCAATCGCAAGGGCTATCTTAACCAATATTTTGAAGATACAGTAACAAGAATGTGCCTGCTCATGAGGAAATTTAACTTGCACTGGAGAGCAATGATCAGCATTATCACCAACCCCGACCTGTCCAAACTGTAAATAAGGTAGAAAATATAATCAACAAAAGATGGACAAATGAATTCTATATAATGCAGATAAAGAATTGACAAATCAAACTAAATAAAGTAAAAGTTTAAAAGGGTAAAATTAATTACTGCATCTTTGACAGGCAACCATTACCATAAAGGTAATTAAAAAACTCATAATATTAAGAAACCGGTAAATTATTATCGTGACAACAAGTCCATTCGCATGTGTGCATGCATGATTACCAAAACTAACAGTTAACCAGGAGGGACTCATATATATCAACTAAAATGCATATAAAATAGCTTTGGATTCGTGCCTAATATTTTAGCAAGCAAACCAAGAAAAGTTGGACACGTAGTTGTGGGAAAACACTTATTTATAGTTGGCTGTAATCTCGTAATCTATATATTTATATTTGTATCCCTAAAATTAAGGAAAGAAAATTATGATAGACAATCTCTTAATTATAGGATCAATTTTAGGAAGATTTACTTTCTTAGTTTACCCATTAGTTAGTTGTATATAAAACCTAAGATGTTTGTATAATTATTGATGAGCAATTTTTCAAAATACATTCAGTTTTACTCTTAGTTTTCCACGCTGTTTTATTTTTTAGTTTTTCCACAATATTAAAGCTTTAGGCTCTTCTTGGAAAGAAAATTTTTTCAGCCTTCATTGCTGAATTCTATTTCAGGCCTTCGTACCAAATCTTATTAAATCTTTCAGTCTTATTTTTTTCTTCTTTGGCCTTCATTGCCTAGAGTGGTCTCTGATTAATCCTTTACTATCAAGACTCATTTTAGTTCTAAGAAAGATAACCATGCCAGAGATAGCAGAATCTGCCACTACCACCCGATTTGAGGAAGTGACCACTGGTAAAACCACCAGAGTACTACAGAAGTCTCGGGAACAAAGAGAGTTGGACAGAGAAGAGATTGAGAAACTAAGAAGCCTATTGAAAACTCTTGAAAAGCCTATTGGGGTATTTTTTTGGGTAAGCTCTCTAGTTAGGTAAAGCTTCTGGTTCTCATGGATTAAATGTTTTGATTAAGCCTATTATGAGTTCTTGGGTCATTGATTCAGGAGCCACAGACCATATGATACATTCCTCACAAAAGTTTAGTACATACACCCAGTGTCCTAGTAATAAGAAAATTGTTGTTGCATATGGCTAACTTACTATAGTGGCAGGATTAGGAGATATTCAAATTAATCCCTCGTTTGTTCTTAAAAATATTCTTCATGTTCCTGAATTGTCTACTAATCTGATATATATACAAAAACTTACCAAAGAAATGAACTGCAAAGTGACCTTTAATCCCTCCTATTGTGAATTTCAAGACCAAAGTTCAGGGAAGAAGATTGAACTTGCTAAGGAGAAGGATGTACTATACTATCTTAAGACATCAAACAACACAAGTAATATCAAGAATAGTTTACCTTTGTCATTTCTTTCTGAAAAATCTCCCAATAAAGACAAAATCTAGCTTTATCATTTTTGTCTTGGACTTCCTACTTTTTGAACTTTGAAAAACATGTTTCCTTCTTCGTTCAAAGGATTAAATGTCGAAAATTTTCATTTTGATGTTTGTGAACTTGCAAAGCATAGACACGCGTCATTTTCAATTAGCAATAAAAGAAGTTCTACTCTTTTTTACTTAATTTATAGTGACATGTGGGGTCCCTCTACAATTCCTAATATTTCTAGTGTAAGGTGGTTTGTTTCTTTCATAGATGATTGTACCATGGTCTCTTGGATATTTTAACTTAAATCCAAATCAGATGTGAATAGTGTGTTTTTAAGCTTCCAAAACATGATCCAAAATCAATTTGGAGTAAAAATCAAGAGGATGTAGTTCTGATAATGCAAGAGACTACTTCAACTAGAGTTTATTTACCTATTTCCAAAAGAAACAGATTATCCATGAGTCACCTTGTGTTAATACTCCATAGCAGAATAGAGTGGTAGAAAGGAAAAACAACCATTTACTAGCCACAACCTAAGCTTTACTTTTTCAAGCAAACGTACCCAAACCCTACTAATCCTACTGGGGGAAACTGTTCTCATTGCTACACAGATTATAAATAGGTTACTTTCAAGGGTTTTGGGATTTAAAACTCCTATGGCACTACTCTTACAATTCTATCCCAACTTTAATACCACAAATAACCTCACACCTAGGATATTTGGTTGTACATAATTTATTTATGTTCATATTTTGAAGAAAGTAAACCATTTTTTACTCAACCTTAGTTTTTGGGAAAGACCTCGTTCATGGAAGATAAGGATAAAGATTTCTTTTTGCTTGACTTGTCCTCCTCTTCAACATTTTCACCCATTAATTCTTCTAAGTCTAAACTTGTTTCTTCTAAGTCCAAGTCAAACACTGCATTTTAGTCTAAGCCCATTCCAAACATAGAAGATGTGACAAAAGATAATATTATTCTTGATTCTATAAAGAATTATAGGTGTACTCAAGAAGGAAAGTTCCAAATCTTGAACTAGTGCAAGTCTAAGAACCTGATCCTACCTCTGGAAATGAGGTAATTACAGTCTTTGACTCTGTTTCTCAAAATAAGCATGAATCTTCTAAAACTATAACTAGTGATTATGATCTGCCTATTGCTATTAAAAAAAGAATAAAAAAATGTACTAAGCATCCATTATACCCAATCTTTAATTTTGTGTCATTTGAAAAATTCTCACCATCCCACAAAAATTTCCATGTGAGCCCAAACATTATTTCTATTCCAACTACATTATTCGAGGCATATCCAATGAGAAATAGAGGCAAGCCATGAAAATAGAAATGGAGGCCTTAGAGAAAAATAAGATATGGGAATTGGTAGAGTTGCCTAAAAGAAAAAATCCAATTGGATGTAAATGGTTTTTCACTGTAAAATACAAGCCAGATGGTACTGTTAAAAAGTATAAAGCCAAGTTAGTGGGCTAAGGGCTACACTCAAACTTATGGAATGGATTATCAGGAAACTTTTGCTCCAGTTGCCAATATGAATACAATTAGGATTTTGTTATCATTGGCTGCAAATTACAATTGGCAGCTTCAACAATCTGATGTAAATAATGCTTTTCTACATGGTGATTTGGAAGAAGAAATATATATGAAGGTTCCACCAGAATTTAGAAGTCATCTAGAAGCAAGCAAAGTATGCAAGTTGAAAAAGGCTTTATATGGCCTTAACTAGTCTTTTAGGACTTGGTTCGGGAGATTTGCCAAAGTGATGCTAGCAATAGGATATAAGTAAAGTCAAGGAGATCACACATTGTTTATCAAGCACTCTGATTTAGGAAGAGTCACAATTCTATTAGTGTATGTTGATAATACAATTGTAACTGGAGATGATGAAAAAGAGAGAGAATCTCTAAAACAATGTTTGGCTAGAGAATTTGAGATAAAAGAGATAAGAGAGATTGAAATACTTCCTAGGAATTGAAGTAACTCTCTCACAGTGTGGTATTTTCATCTCACAACATAAATATGTAATGGATCTTTTGAAGGAAACTGGGAAGCTCGAATGTAAACCTACAAATACCCCTATAGATCTTAATCATAAACTTGGGGAAGTTAATGAAGATGCTACTATAAATAGATAGATGTACCAGAGACTAGTTGGAAGACTCATTTATCACTCACATATTAGACCTGATATAAAATATGTTCTGAGTGTGATAAATCAATTTATGCATAGTCCAAAAAAAAGTGCACCTACAGGCTGTCCACCATGTATGCACTCTTTGAAGGCCAATCTTGGGAGAGGTATCTTATTCAAAAGAAATTCGAGGTTGGTTCTAGAGACATACAGATGCGGATTATGCAGGTTCAATAACTGATAGAAGATCCATCTCAAGCTAATGTATTTTCCTAGGTGGTAATCTTGTGACTTGGAGGAGTAAAAAAAACAAAAAGTGCTAACAAGATCAAGTGTTGAAGCAGAATTCAGAGCAATGGATCAAGGAATTTGTGAACTACAATGGTTAAAGATTATCCTAGAAGACTTAAAGATCAAGTGGGATGGACCAATTAGACTCTACTATCATAACAAGTTTGCAATAAGTATTGCACACAATCTTGTGCAACATGATAGAACAGACCACATTGAAGTAGACTGACATTCATGAAGGAGAAACTAGACAGTGGGTTGATTTGTACACCATATGTATCAACCAAGGGTCAACTTGCAGATTTGTTAACTAAAGGTCTCAATAGTGCAACATTTCAAGAAATTATTTCCAAGCTGGGAATTGAAAACACCTATTCAACAGCTTGAGGGAGAGTGTGGGAAAACACTTATTTATAGCTAATTGTAATCTTGTAATCTATATATTTAAATTTGTATCTCTATAATTAAGTATTTGTATCCCTAGAATTAAGAATAGAAAATTAGAATAGAGAATCCCTTAATTATATGATTAGTTTTAGGAATATTTAGTTTCTTAGTTTACCCACTAGTTAGTTATGTATAAACCTAAGGTGTTTGTATAATTCTTGATGAGCAATGGTTTAATATACATTCAGTTTTACTCTTAGTTTTTTACACAATTTTATTTCTTAATTTTTCCACAATAGTGATACGATGTATTTCAAAGATATAAATCAAAGAAAATTGATTTTTTCAACCTTGTTCCATCCCCAACCATAGAGTTTTCCATTGGAAGTGATTGCCATTGTATGTCTCCATCCACCCGATATCTAATAAGATTCAAACCAAAATGCAAAAACAATTTTAAAACATAATTTTGAAGTCAACATATATTAGACAGCAACAGCAAATATCATGAAGGCATAATATCCATCAAATATCATGAAAAGTATAACTAATGAGGTATTAACTCTATACAGGCCTGACAAAATGGTAAGATATTTCCCACAGCAAGTTTCACAAAAAGGGAAGAAAGATCATACACAGTGTAATATGATATTATCAGAATAACTCTAGCTGGTACTGATTCGTCCTTTTACTAGTAGGTCTAAAAGGTTGGAACAAAACAAAATTGAACTGATAGTCAAAATAACACTTGCTGCCACAATGAAAGAAAGTCCTTCCCTAGTTAATAAAGAACAATGCTGTAAGCTCCTAATTACCCAGATGCAGAACAAGGAGGCAAATAGGAGAAAATAAAGATCAAAGGGAAAATTACAGAGAGAATAGAAGAATCAAGGAGAGAGAAGAATTAGGGAAGGAAATCAGATAGAACCAAGATAGAGAAGGAAAATCTCATTACTCAATAGTCTAAATCTCAGGAATTCTTAATCCAAAGCTAGAATAAAAACCTATCACATATTTATAGATAACAACACACTAAGCCTTATATCCCATATTCTTAGGTCGGCTGTATGAAAAACCAAATAAGATAATCAAATTAGGTTGACATCACATAGTTATAGATACAAGACATAAAACCTTAACATAAACTCAAATTCCAAATATATCACTAAATACCAATAAATCCTTTTAAAATCTAAAATGTGATTTTCTATCAAACCTTCACTATGTGAAGCCAGTAAAGCCATATAAAGTATAGCCAGTTAACTTAGACTTCAAGACATGATGTCTCCCCCACCCTAGCTAAAGACGTGATTAGGAGATCATTAAGCATACACATGTTAGAATGTGAAAAACCATGCTTTTAAGTATTAACTTGTAAGGCACATGTGAGAACCTAAAATTATCTTTATTGCAAACAGTAAGGTTATCATAAAACTGCCATTTTTCCCTATAAAGAGATGGGGGAACAAAAAGATCACCTGCTTAATAAAACTGTCAGCTAAAGCTTCAACCTTATGAGGAACAAGATGATCCTCAAAGTCCCCATGTCCCAGTTGACCATACTTACTCCATCCATAAGTGTATAATCCGCCAGTAACGGAGACTGATATGGTATGCCTCCATCCACAAGCCACCATATTCATCTTCTCTCCCTGCAACTGAAAACTTTTACAACTTCTTTAACAAGAAAAATTGGAAATAAAGGGAAATTACAGAATGGGAATAAAATAAGACAAGATGCAGAAAAGGAAACAACACTTTAAGACTCACTTCCATTATTCTTTTCTAGCATTAGAATACCTTAGGAAAAAAGAAGACTAAATAGTTGAAGATTAAACACAAAAGGAAAGAAAAGTCCCTTTTAAATACAGAGGATAAAAATGAAAGCACCTGATGTAAACTTTTCCTCAATCATGTCAACTTATATATAGATGGCAACCTAAAATGCAGATGTTATGAGTTACCTGTCTTGCATATTCATATAGGACAGTCAATGGTACTTAAGTAAGGAAACAGGCCAAATAAATATTACCAGCTTCATGACTTACATTGAGAGTAGAAACCAGCTCAGGAACTAAACGATCATTTCTGTCACCTAAGCCCAAGTTTCCATATCGTCCCCAGCCCCATCCATAGAGGGCACCCTCTTCAGAAACAGCCACAGTATGCTCAGCACCAGCAGCAACCATTTTGATAGAAATACCCTATAAAAGACACGAAATTTATGGTGATAACCACTTCAGCAACGTACAGATGTAACCTTTAGCTTGATCAAAGTATCAATGCAGAATTCTTCTGTAGTCTTAGGAAAAAAATTTAGATAGGGTTTTTTAAATCTTTAAACTAACGGTCAGCAACATTACAGGATTTCAAAGTCTCCTTTTTTGGGCTAAAACAGGATTCCAAAGTTCAGCAACATGCAAATACTATTGTCAACAAATGTACAACTGCGTTAGAGATATCAGAACTATAAATTTGAATAATCCTGATAAAGGCCTCCACATAATTGTATATATTTCATCAAATGCTCGAAGGGAACCCAGTGAGAAATCCTCTTTCTTCTCTGGCTAGCATAACATGGTAATGGAGGGATTCCACTTGATTAAAGAAGAAATCACATATTGCTGACATAGAATGATTTAAAGTCTTAAAAATGCAACTTTTGGGTGTGAAGCAATTTATAACAAGCATATACACATTTTGTGAAGGTCAACAAAAGCAAGGAACCAGGACACACAAGCAAAGGCTCATTTCCTTTAATGCTAAAGTACAAACAAACAGAAGAATGTAGCATCCCATGAAAATTTGTTATAAGATAGCCAGATAACATACAATACCTGAAAGGCTTGAATCTTTTGAGGAACAAGAGAGTCTTCAATGGTTCCAAGACCAAGTTGACCATTTTGATTTCTTCCCCAACTTCAATTAAATTACAAAAACAAAATGTTAGAAAAAATGTGAAAAAAAAAATTTAGTAGATCTATCACATTGGCCAAAAACATAAGAGCTAATACAAATATAAATTGAAAGAAGAAATAACTGCAAAAGTTGGAAAACTTCTTCAGAAGACAGTAAAGCTATAGTACTACACAAAGGGATTGCTGATTCTGCTGTTACACAGAACTCTGACCTGCTTTCAGGAAAATGAGACAGAATCAGCTATCTTAAAATGATCTGTAAATATTTGTATCCCTAGAAATAAGAGCAAAGAATTAGGGATAGACAATCACTCAATTATAAGGATCAACTTTAGAAGGGTTTAGTTTCCTAGTTATCTTCTAGTCTCCCAGTACATAGACCTAAGGTACTTGTACAATTCAACAGAAATAGTCTCATTTTCCACATGGTATTAGAGCTTTAGACTCTTCTTGGAAGCAAAATTTTCAGCTTTCATTGCTGATTTTTATTTCAGCCCTTCAAAGCCAAACCTTGTTAAGGCCTTCATAGACGTTTTATTTTTCCCTTCTCAGGCCTTCATTGCCAAGACTTGTTTATGGTTATATTTTCATTGTCAAGACTCATTTCAATCCAGAGAAAGGTAGCAATGTCAGAGATAACAAAATCTGTCGCTACTACCCACTTTGAGAAAGTAACAACGGGTCAAACCACAAAGAATTATAGAATATCCAAGCCGCGTATAGATTGAATGGAAAGAACTACTTGAAGTGGTCTCAGTTGGTTCAAACCTTTCTCAAAAGGGGTAGGAAAATTGAGCCATCTTGGTACCAAACCTAAAAAAAAGAGATCCAAGATTTGAGGCTTGAGATTAAGAGGATTCCATGGTTACGTCAGGGTTGTGCAATTCCATGATACCAAATATCAGTGATACTAGCATGTTTTTGTCCACGACCAATGATATTTGGGAGTCAATTCAACAAACCTACTCCAAAATTAGGGATGATGCTAAGTTTATAAGAAAAAGATCAAGGCCACTACTATCAAACAAGGGAACAAGTCAATCACGAAGTATGCCATTCTTTTAAAAAATCTTTGGCAAGAGATGGATCACTACCGATGCATAGAGATGAAGTGTATAGAAGATGCATCAACTTTCAAGAAGTTTATTGAAACCGTTGAATTTGATCAAGTCAGAGTCCAAATTTTGGGAAAAGATGATTTGCCTTGTTTAAATAAGGTGATCTCCACGGTTAGAGCAAAAAAGCAAACGAGGAGATATGCCTGAAAGCCTAAATGTGGAAGGATCTACTATGATGACTAATGGTAATAAAACGCAAAGCCTGGAATATACCTAGTACAAGACGTCAAGGCACACGAGGGGTTGTTGTTGGAAACTAAATGGAAAACCCCCAACTTCAAGCAAAGAATGAGGTTATAAAGGTGGACAGCCATGAAATCAGGGGCAAGCTCACATGATTGCAATGTAGTCAAAGCAAGAAAGTCTTGAGAACAAGGAGAGTTTGATAAAGATGAGGTTGAGAAACTAAGAAACTAAGAAACCTAATGGGAACCATTGAAAAACCTACCGGTGTCTATACCTTGGCACACTCAGGTAAGGTCTCTAGTTCTCATGGATTAGATATCCTGGATAAGTCTATTATGAGTTCTTGGGTCACTGACTCAAAAGCCATGATCACATGAGACACACTCCTCCCAGAAGTTTAATAAACATACTTTGTATCCTGGTAATAAAAACTTCTTGTTGCAAATGGTTCACTTACTAATGGCAGAATTAGGAGATATTCAAATTAATCCCTCATTTGTTTTTAAAAATGTTATGCATGTTCCTAGATTGTCCACTAATATGGTAGCTATACAAAAACTTACTAGAGACATGAACTGCAACGTAACTTTTCATCCCACTTATTGTGAATTTCAGGACTAGGATTCGAGAATGAGGGTTGGACTTGCTAAGGAGATGGACTATACTATCTTAAGACATCAAACAACACAAGTGATATCAAGAACAACTTACCTTTGTCATTTCTTTCTGAAAAATCTTCCAATAAAGACAAAATCAAGCTTTATCACCTTCGTCTTGGACATCTTTGTTTTGGAACTTTGAAAAACATGTTTCCCTTTGTGGAAAACCGATTTCTAACCAGATTTGATTAGGTGTCATTCATTTAGTATTTTGGTTGTTTCTTAAATAAAAGGGATTTGGTTCATTGACCAAATTCCTACTTCGTAGTTTCCATTTATCGTTAGAGGATTTTTAGGTGGTTTGTTAATATCTCTAGGATATCATGGGATTTGCCAAATTTGATGTTTTAGCTATATATATACTCTTGTACTTTAGAAAGTTTCTTAAGAATTCATAAATAAAATTCTCATGAATTTCTTCATAGTATCAGTGTTCATCCTGAATCATCAAAACCTATATATATAATATTTTTTTTCTTTCTATCTTTCTATCTACTCCATGGCTAGCAACACAGGTGTGTCTAAGCTCCTTATTTTGCCTATCACTAGTCACAAACTCAATGGACAAAACTTCATCCGATGGCCTTAATCAGTGAAGCTATTCGTTTGTAGAAAAGGTAAAGAGGATTATCTCATAGGAATGGTTGTTTCACCCAATGGCAATGACCCGAAGTATCAAACCTGGAAGTTGGAGAATTGCATGGTAATATCGTGGTTGATCAATTCTATGACCAACGAGATTGGTGAGAATTTCGTGTACTACAAAACTGCCAAGGAGATTTGGGATGCTATGAAAGAAACATACTCTAACATAGACAATACATCTGCAATATTCAAGATCAAAAACACTATACATGACCTGCGACAAGGAGACTCCTCTATCACGTAATATTTTAATTCCTTAACTCATTATTGACAACAATTAAATATTTTTGAAAAATAGCATGGAAGTGCCCTGACTATAGCCAACAATAAAAGAAAATAGTGGAAAAGGACCGAGTTTATAAGTTTCTACTTGGTCTAAACAAAAGCCTTGATGATGTTCATGGAAGCATTCTTAGCATCAAGCCATTACCCAGCATCTGAAAAGTTTTCTCTGAGGTCCGCCAAGAAGAGAGTAGAAGGAAAGTGATGCTAGAGACATCATGCAATTCGCAAGAGAAAGAAAATTCAGCCCTTGCTGAACGAGGACCAAAATCCTTACCAAGGTGGTGAAAATCGACAAAAGAAAGGTAATAGACCTTGGTGTGACCACTGTCAGAAGACAGGACACACATGAGAAATTTGTTGGCAAATCCATGGGAAACCTGCTGACTACAAACAACATTCTACTCAAAATCGATAAAGTCATGAAAATGCTGTCACCAACGAGACAACTCCAACACCCCCGGAATCAAGCCTGTTCAATAAAAAGCAGTTAGAACTCCTTGAGAAAATTGTTCAACAATCTCTTTAGAACATTAGGTTAGTTGTAAGCACAGCGTTTGTTGCACAAAAAGGTAACTCTCTCAATGCTCTACTTGTGCAAAGTGGAAAATCAAGATCTTGGATTGTTTATTTAGGCACATCAGACTACATGACTAGTGATGCATCAGTGTTCCATGAATATAGCCCACGTTCTGAAAACCTCACAGTTTGAATAGCAGATGGGTCACTCTCCTGAATAGCCAAGACAAGTTCAATCATTTTTTCAAAGGACATAACACTTGATTCTGTTCTTCATGTCCCTAATTTAGATTGGAACCTTCTGTCTATTAGTAAAATTACAAGAAATCTTAATTGTGTTACTAAATTTCTTTCTAACATGTGTGAATTTCAGGACTTGGATTTGAGGAAGAAGATTGGCAATGCTAGGATGTGTGCTAGACTCTATCTCCTTAGAGATGAAGAATCTAAGAAACAATTATGGAAAAGTGCTTGTTCAGTCCTCTTCTAGTAAGAGTAAAGAAAATACAGTCATGTTATGGTACTATCGTTTAGGATATCCAAATTTCTTGTACCTAAAAAAATTGTTCCTTGATTTATTCAATAAAGGTTCCTTGATTTATTCAATAAAGGTTCCGAGTCTTATTAATGTGAAATTTGTCAATTTTCCAAACACACTCGCAATTCATATCTAAGTCAACCATACAAATCAACTCATCCATTTTCTATGATCCATAGTGATGTTTGGAGACCATCAAGGGTTAACAATATTACAGGCTCTAGATGGTTTGCTACCTACATTAATGATCACACAAGAGTTACTTGGCTGTTCTTCATGAAAGACAAGTCAGAGGTTAGTTCAATATTTCAAAATTTCAACAAGATGGTGCAAACTCAATTTCAAGCAAAAATTAAGGTGCTCATAATAGATAATGGGCAAGAATACTATCACTTAGTTCTTGGATCTTAATTGTTTAGATCAAGAAATTATTCATCCAAGCCCATGTACTAAAACTCCTCAACAAAACGGAGTTGCCCAGTGGAAGAACAGACATCTGATGGAAGTTGCAAGATCTAAGCATCTCATGTCCTGAAACATTTTTTAGGATAGGCAATCCTGACAGCAGCCTCTCTTATCAATAGGATGCCTTCTCGAGTGCTAAAATTCCAAATCCCTTACCACACACTTATCAAAACCTACCCTTATGTCTAAATCATTTCCTCTATACCAATCAAAGTGTTTGGGTGTACTACCTTTGTTCATATACAATAACAACAACGGAATAAACTAGACCTCAAATCACTCAGTTGTATATTTCTTGGCTACTCACCTAACCAAAAAGGCTACAAATGTTATTCACCAACTACCAAAAAGTTTTACACTTCTATGGATGTCACCTACTTTGAAAATCAGCCATTCTATCCCAAAGCCGATATTCAAGCGGAGAGTTAAGGGACTATCAACTTTGGGAGATTGAGCCATCATCTAATCTTTCCTCTACTTGTCTGCCAATTCAAATTCCCATTTCAAATAATTTTTCTTCTTCTTCCGAGTCAACTAGTCATCCTAAGTCTCCAAAATCTCCTGAAACTGTGCACGAGACAAAAGCTAA